TGAAGAGAGGTTAAGGAAATGAGAGAAAAAGAATGAACTGTGATCAAATGTTAAAACAAGGTGAAGATAAAAATGAGTTTAAATTTATTTGGATTGTGAATAAAATGGAAAGTGTTATATAAGAAGGAAGTGAGGGAGCACATATATCCAAAACAATCATGAGAATACTATCACATAGAAATGCTACCACGTAGACAAGCCAATGACACAATTCTGAAAAAGGCGGGGTCATATGATACTTTTTTTTAATGTAGTGACATAATTTTTCAAGTTGGGGGAGACACTCACCCTAAAACCAATTTGTTCATGTAAAATACAATTCAACTATGTATTTATCATATTTTTTGTTTGCTTTCAGCTTTGTATATTCAAGGGAAATTAGAGAGAGTTTAACAAGGATACATAAATGGATAGACGTTACAAATTATTTTGCCAAAAAATAATTGTAACGGAACACTTGACATCTTATTTCACTACACAAATATATATATTTTTAATTTTAGTGGAGATTAATTGTGTATTTATAAAAATTTAAAATTTGTTTCAATGTGTTAATTTTCTTTCTAAGTTTCCACAATCATGTGTTTGCAACAATTATTCTTAAAATATATATCTATCTTTATAACAATTTATAAATTAATAGATTTTTTTGTTTTTTATTAAATAAATAAATATGGCCTCCAATTCCATTTCAACTATCCATTAAAAATTAATTACAAAATTTAGGTATTGAATCAAACTAAATCACTTATTTTAAATTTTGGTTTGATGCTTATAGTTACAATTTGTACGTTTGATGTCACGAATGCCTCTAATATGTTGAAAATGTGTTTATTTATTTTAATGATGTTCATGCTAATTTAAATCTACATTGTGAATATTCAAAGTAATTGTAAAATTTTCAACAAATAATTTTGATATTTTACACGTTTTAGAATAATAAAAAAATATATAGGCGATTTTTTTGATTGAAAAAAGTTATTAAAATTAAGCATACTTTGATTGGTATAGGGTTAGGTTCACAAAATATTAGTTTCGTCACGAATTACCTCTTTAAAGCATATGACATTTGAAGAGTCGTAGTCTCAATCAAACAATCACGAACATTATGATCAGTCTCTAAAAATCCCCTATCCTCAACTGATCTTTTAAATGTATTAAACGAATTGCCATTATTTGTAAGAAGATATTTCCAATTAGTTTGACCTTTGATATGATATAACAATAATCAGAAGGAAAACTTCTCTCCCTTCGAAGGTTATACTATATAGACTCTTCTGATAAAGGAGTGATTTCTCCATAACGTATGCCACTAAAAAAACATGCACACATTTTAAGACTACTTGAGGATATCTAAAAACATTGTTTTTAATCCTAAGTATGATAAAAACTTCATACAAAATATAAACACGTTTATTTTTCTATGTTGTGCGCATTAAAAAAAGAGGACAGACGGGCACGGGAGTGCCCGTCTGAACGCTAGTACATAATAGACCAAATCCATGATATACAAAAGATGTCTAAATAGGTCCCCCCCCCCCCCCCCACGAGCTATGTGTGCAACCCAAGATAATACAGTATAAACCTCGTCATCTGGGTTTACCAAACCCATGAGGTTATCCATAATAACTTCAATCATTTGGATGCACTGTTGGTCATCATAATTATCTACTGAAGGAGGCGGCGGTGACACGTCATCAACAAGTACTCCCATATCAGAAGGCCCATCATCAATTGTAGGTTGGGTGATGAAAGAGTGTGATAAAGTGAGATAGCACTCTAAGTAACCATCATCGCACTGCGAAGGGTGCTGAACAGTGACTGCTCGATCTCTAATGGCATGACCAGAGCTGATGAAGTTACTCTGAAACCACCAATAAATATCTAAAGATTGTATATTTGGAACTGGTCGTGAGATACTATAAACATAACCAAACTCTCACAGACACCACTCAGACAAGTGTCTAGCAACCATGGTCTCCCACCGTATATAACTTGAATATAAAAACGACTCCTCGAACTCATTATGGACTCTATGACTAGTGTATGATGTCTAGATGACATCATCTATGGTCAGCGCATCGAGCCTACTCTGGTACTCAGCAACACCACCACGATGTTTTTGCCTGACCTTCCATCTCTTCGCCCGTGGTGGCCCCACCTCGCAATGATGCACCCTCCTATCACAAATGATGGGGAAATGCTCGTATATCCAGCACTTATATCAAAACAGAGACACAATAAATAAGAAATAAGAAATGTTTTTCGTAACAATTAAATAAGAAATTAACAACAAATAATAATTTCAAGTATACATGTAACATACTCAAATAGCCAACAAGTTGTTTAGTCTCAAAGAGTGTCGCCACTCCAAGGGTTGTATACAGAAGGGTCAACGCAACACACACCCAAGTCCAACTGATATCTTTGAGACTACTGATGAGGCACACGTATCAGACATCGATATAAACATCAGACTTGTCCGTAAAGAGATTACATGCTACTATGTGTAGCATGTACGCCCTAGCGGCAACCTCATACCTCCCAATAGCTACAAGTTGATCGTATGTCTTCCGAAGTCAAGACATACAAAGGTGCGTGCCCCTGGTCTCACCAAACTCCTTTTGCACCTCTGCCTCAGACAATCCCAAATCTCGTGCAGCAGTCTGACATGCAAGGGACATGCTTAGAACGGGAGCCTTCCAAAATTTGTCGCCGATGAGGAGACATCATCCAGAGTGACAGTCATCTCCTCAAACGGAAGATGAAATGAAGATATCTCCTTGTGTCACCTCTCAACAAATGCGCGAAGTAGTGGAGCGTCGAGCATAGTGAGGGAGTAGTGGGAAAAATCAAGAAGCTGGAAATCCTGTATAATCCGGCTGACCTGCTCAGACATCGAAATCTTTGGGAACTCATTTATCTTCAACCTGTGCGATGCCACCTTCAGTGTGCGTCGCTCCTGTGACAAAAACATATAAACACATTAGTTGATAACTCCTGTAACAAACATATATAAACAATAATTAAAGTTAAACATAAAAGACATATACCTCGCCTTGCCATAGTCGTAACTCCACACAGTCAGCATACTCAGTAAGTATCAACTGATCAATGGGTCCTTCAGAGAATCCTCCATCAGTGTGCACAAAGGGCTTGGTCGAAGGAGTCGTAACCTACGTGTCAGTAGTAACTGATGAGACCGAATTAGCAACATCACTATCTGACTGGACCATCTGAGAAACCTCTTCCGAACCAACCTCCTCAACAACCGGATCAACAGCTGGATCAACAAATAGATTAACAATCGGATTATCACCAAATCAACCACTGAATCAGCAACAACAGCATCTGGCACCACCTCATCTCTAGGCTGCTCTATTGATCGTACCAGTCGGCGTCGAGTGCAACAAGGTGTTCAAAACGGACCTTGCTCAGCCAACCGCTTCTGATGTGAACTGGTTGGGGCCACTCGTCTATTCCGTATCTGAAAAGACTTAGCATCAACGCTCCTGACAACCCTACCTTGGTCTGCCGCTCGATCAACAGTTCTCTCTGCAATAGTGTCTTCTCTGCTCTGTATTTCACAAGAAAAGAAGAAGAAAAAAATATTGACAACTACCGAAAATTTCAAAATTTCCGGTACAAAACCATGAAGTATACCGGAAATTTCTGGTACAAAACTATGGAATATACCGAAAATTTCAGAATTTTCGGTACAAAACCAAATTTTTATAACTATTGAAAATTATGAAATTTCCGATATAATCAATGAGATTTTATACCGGAAATTTTAAAATTTTCGGTATACATTTCAATGTAAACACCGGAAATTTTGAAATTTTCAGTATAAATTTTAATGTAAATATTGAAAATTTTGAAATTTCCGATATAAAATAACATAAATTTTGAAAAAATCGGTATAAAAACTTACTGTTTTTAAAATTTTCGATAAATACTTCAAATTTTCGGTATAGCTCTAAGAATTTCAAATTTTTGTCTCCTCGTTATAAATTTTGGAAATTTGAAAAATGAATTAGCAAGGAGCAGTTTCGTCTTTCCATACGTGTTGGAGGGATGCCAAATCTAACCAAGAGTTGTCAAGTTAAATGCTCCCTTGATAGATTAGCCTAATGAACTTATTACCGGACCCCTACTAATAAAACAAAATAACTATTTTTTAAGAGGTTATTCAAACATAATTCAAGGATGAATGATTATAAACTCCTAGTGTTATTTTTTTAGTTGATGGTGTGTGATACTTGTTTCCTTATAATGTCAAAGAGCTCATGTTGTTCCATGTTGCATTTAAACCATACATAAATTGCTAGCTTTGGTGTATCAGTCAGCATCTAATTTAGTACTATTCTTTTGATTTATCTCATCATTTAAAAATAGTCAAGTTAGCTTGCAATGCTAAGCTACTGCCAACTGTTGCATCAAATTTAGTTTTTATAGTTTCTTCATTCTTCTGTTGCTTTGTAGTTATACTTTGCCATCATTTTGAGAAGGCAAGAAGCACACTCTACCTCAAGTTTGCAAAAAGGTTTGTTTTTGGCTTTTTTGCTTGAGTCAGAAAACTTCAATGACAAAACCAGTTCCCTTGTTAACTATTATTATCAATCACTCTTCAGTTCACATTCTATCAATTGTTGAACTTGTTTAAGCCAACTAATTTGTTGTATTTTTGATATCTAAAGAATCAAAGCTCATTTCAGTTGGAACTCTAGAAACTGTTTAATTGATTTATTTGAGCTTCTCTAATGGCATAAGCACTACTTATGACATAGTCATAAGTAGTTTTTAGCTTACTTTTATAAGCTCTCCAAAATAACTTATGAAAACAATAATATAGATTATACATAAGTACTTAAACATAAGCATTTAATTAAACTGTTTACTCAAACAAGGTTCAATAGAATTGATGAATAAGTTGCTAACTCAAACCAGTGAATTAACTTTCTTCAGCAACTGTTTCACAGTGGTTTTTCTCGGAGAAAATGGTGGCGAAGGCTAGCTCAGATGGAGATATTGCTTCAACTGAGATAACAGGGTCAACAAGTCATAATCCACCAATTCCTGCAGATTCTGAATATGTTCAGGAAGTGGCTGCTGACACGTGCAAGGAACCCAAGAAGAACAAGGTGAAGGATCAAAGAATCAAAACAGTACCCTTTTACAAGCTTTTCTCATTTGCAGACTCTTGGGATTATTTCCTTATGATTGTTGGAACCATAAGTGCTGTTGGAAATGGAGTCTCTATGCCTTTAATGACTATAATTATTGGAGATACTATTGACGCTTTTGGAGGCAATGTTAATACCAAACAATTAGTTCATCAAGTTTCCAAGGTGTCTCTCAAGTTTGCAATCATGGGTGCATGCACCTTTTTTGCGGTGTTTCTGCGTAAGCATATCAAAATCTCTAGCTTAGTATATCAAATATATATTAATATACCTTAACATGAAATTTGTTTTCAGAGGTGGCTTGCTGGATGATCACAGGGGAGAGGCAAGCTGCGAGGATAAGGGCCTTATACCTCAAAGCAATTTTAAGGCAAGACATAAGCTTCTTTGACAAGGAAACAAACAATGGTGAGATTGTTGGAAGAATGTCAGGTGATACAGTTCTTATTCAAGAAGCTATGGGAGAGAAGGTGTTAATGAACTATTTAAAGAAATCAGATATATTTTCTAAGCAAAATTTGAACATAATAACTAATTCTTCCTTTTTTTTCTGTGATGTATTCTCAGGTAGGCAAATTCATACAGTATGTGTCAGGTTTTTTAGGAAGCTTAGTTGTGGCATTCATCAAGGGCTGGCTTCTATCTCTTGTCCTTCTATCTTCGCTTCCTTTTCTTGTCCTCTCCGGTTCCATGATGAGCTTTGCTTTCGCAAAGATGGCATCTCGTGGACAAACAGCATATTCTGAAGCAGCAACTGTAGTAGAAAAGATACTCGGTTCAATTCGAACAGTACGAAAATTTCATAGTTTTTAATGTATTTTTCATGTTTATAACTAATGATACGCAACAGAGTTTCTTCAATGCATGCAGGTTGCATCATTTACCGGCGAGAAGCAAGCTATAGCACAATACAATCAATCCTTAACTAAAGCCTATAAAATTGGAGTGCAAGAGGGATTGGCTATTGGCTTAGGCCTTGGATCGGTTCGTTTATTTGTTTATTGTACTTATGCTTTGGCTGTATGGTTTGGAGGGAAGATGGTACTAGAGAAAGGTTACACTGGAGGTGAAGTCGTAAGCATATTTTTCGCAGTACTGACAGGTTCCTTGTAAGTTAAGTTAGTTCTTTTTTTTTGAAAGATGATTAGATGGACATATAGACATCATTTCTTATGAACTAATTTTATTTTCTAGGTCTCTAGGACAGGCAATTCCATGCTTATCTGCATTTGCTGCTGGACAAGCTGCATCATTTAAAATGTTTGAAACAATCAAAAGGAAGCCAGAAATCGATGCTTATGATACTACTGGGAGAAAGCTCGATGACATTCGCGGAGACATAGAGCTTAGGGAGGTTTGGTTTAGTTATCCTACAAGACCAGATGAGCTGATATTCAATGCATTCTCTATTTCAATACCAAGCGGCACAACCGCGGCTTTGGTAGGGCAAAGTGGGAGTGGGAAATCAACGGTTATTAGTTTGATAGAGAGATTTTATGATCCACAAGGGGGTGAAATTCTCATCGACGGTATCAACCTCAGACAATTTCAACTGAAATGGATCAGACAGAAAATAGGCCTAGTCAGTCAGGAACCGGTTCTCTTTAGCTGTAGCATTAAAGAGAATATTGCATATGGTAAGGATGCGGCAACTGATGAAGAAATCAGAGCTGCGGCAGAACTTGCTAATGCTACTAACTTCATCGATAAGTTTCCTCGTGTGAGCTCTTATTCTTGATTCTTATAAAAATTTCAACAACATCATACAATACCGAAGACTATTTTATAGTATATGTTTTTTCATTAAATACTTGTTGTCTCTTTTACCTCACTAATTCTGGAAAATGATTAATTTAGAGACTTGAAACGATGGTCGGCGAGCATGGAGCTCAGCTTTCTGGAGGCCAAAAGCAAAGAATTGCTATAGCAAGAGCGATTCTGAAAGATCCAAGAATTCTACTCCTTGATGAAGCAACAAGTGCACTTGATGCAGAATCTGAAAGAGTGGTACAGGAGACACTAGACAAAATTATGATAAACCGAACGACCATCATCGTAGCCCATCGCCTTAGCACAATAAGCAACGCTGATATCATCGCTGTTATTCACCAAGGAAAAGTAGTAGAAAAAGGTATACATACATAGATACATACTAAATATGGGGCAATGGAGCATTCTTATATCTTGTAACTGATTATCAGGTACACATGCTGAGCTCACTAAGGATCCTGATGGAACTTATAGTCAGCTCATTAGGTTGCAAGAAATTAAAAGGGATTCATCAGAACAATGTGGTGCTAATGACTCCGATAGTAGTCGCAACTCATTCGTAGTATCGAATTCTATGCCCACCACACAAGTAAAAGGGTCTGAAAAAGTTCTTTCAGAAGTAGCATCACATGAAAATAAAACTCCAGATATCACATTTTTGCGCCTCGCTTATCTTAACAAGCCTGAAATCCCAATGTTACTCATAGGGACTCTAGCCGCAGCGCTAACTGGAGCAGTGCTACCTATTCTGGGGCTTCTAGTCTCAAAAATGATAAATACATTCTTTGAGCCTGCAGATGAACTCCGCAAAGACTCGAAGTTTTGGGCATTAATATTTGTTTCCCTTAGCGTGGCATCGTTTGCTTTTCACCCTTTAAGGTCCTACTTTTTTGCAGTAGCTGGTTCGAAGTTAATAAAAAGGATCCGATTAATGTGCTTCGAGAAAATAGTTCACATGGAAGTAGGATGGTTTGATAAAGCTGAGAACTCAAGCGGTGCACTTGGAGCAAGGCTGTCTACCGATGCCGCTTTGATTCGAACTTTGGTCGGCGATGCATTCGGTTTACTTGTTCAAGATATTTCTACAGTTATCACAGCCTTGGTAATTTCCTTTGAGGCAAATTGGCAGCTTTCTCTCATCATTCTTGTTTTGCTACCTCTACTTTTAGTCAATGGACATTTGCAAATCAAGTCTATGCAAGGATTCAGCACAGATGCAAAGGTTTGTGCCTTATTGACATATAACTATAAACTACATTATGAGGATGAATCAAATGTGCTTCAACTGTAATGGATCTTTATATATATATTTGACAGAAACTATACGAGGAAGCGAGTCAAATAGCAAATAATGCAGCAGGGAATATCAGAACAGTTTCGGCTTTCTGTGCCGAAGAGAAGGTGATGGAGTTATACCAGAAGAAATGTATAGTACCGATCCAGACAGGAAAAAGGCAGGGTGTAGTCAGTGGAATTGGTCTTGGTTTAGCAATCTTTTTTCTGTTTTCTGTCTATGCATGCAGTTTTTACGCCGGCGCACAACTTGTTGAGAATGGAAAAACATCAATATCAGAAGTTTTTCAAGTAAGTTTTGTTTTTGTAAATATTAAGCAACAAGGATAATTTAAGATCAAAATTCACCATATTGTTATAGCATTAAGCATATATTTTTCCAAAATTTTCAGGTATTTTACTCTCTCACATTGGCAGCCGCCGCGATATCTCAATCCGCCTTCCTCGCTCCAGGAGCTAGTAAAGCAAAAGGTTCAGCTGCTTCTATATTTGCTATTCTTGATCAGAAATCAGAAATAGACCCTAGTGATGAATCAGGAATGACACTGAAAGACGTGAAGGGAGAGATCGAATTCCATCATGTCACTTTCAAGTATCCAACTAGACCTGATGTTCATGTGTTCAAAAACCTTTCCTTAACCATTCATTCCGGACAGGTAAGTTAAAAAGTTATAGATTGGTTTGATGCATAACTCTCACTAGAAGCTTAAAGTTTGTTTGTTTCAATCAGACAGTTGCATTGGTTGGAGAAAGTGGAAGTGGAAAGTCAACTTTGATCTCATTGTTGCAAAGATTTTATGATCCTGATTCAGGTTTGATTAAACTGGATGGCACAGATATCCAAAAGCTACAACTTAAATGGTTTAGGCAACAAATGGGCCTGGTAAGCCAAGAGCCTGTTCTATTCAATGACACCATTCGAGCCAACATAGCTTATGGAAAAGGTGGTAACGCATCTGAGGCTGAAATTATCACTGCATCAGAACTGGCAAATGCTCATAAATTCATTAGCAGCTTGCAGAAGGTAAATATTTAATACACTGTCTATGAATCATGGACGCACCGTCATAGACACTGACACTGATTCGTGGACACTTGTAATAGCTTAAGAAGACCTAGTTATCTATGCAGCATGGCTTATTGAAATCTAGAAAAACAACATGTGCAGGGATATGATACAATAGTAGGAGAGAGAGGGATACAGCTATCTGGAGGACAGAAGCAACGTGTGGCAATTGCAAGAGCCATAGTTAACAGTCCAAGAATATTGTTACTAGATGAAGCCACAAGTGCACTTGATGCTGAGTCTGAAAAAATGGTTCAAGATGCACTTGATAGAGTGAGGATGGACAGAACAACCATTGTGGTGGCTCATAGATTATCTACCATAAAAGGTGCAAACTCAATTGCAGTTGTTAAAAATGGAGTAATTGAGGAGAAAGGAAAACATGACGCATTGATCAACAAGGGTGGTGCTTATGCTTCTTTAGTAGCACTTCACACAAATGTTAATGCTTCATCTTTATAAGATTCTTTAAACTTATTGTATTTATTTTCTAATGGTGTCTTAATCTTTTGAAGTTTGTTTTCATATGCTATAAGAATAAGGAATCTTGATTGATTGATTTTTATCAATTTCATAACTATTTCATTTCTCTAGGTAATAATAATCTAATTTTTCAGATAGTATTTTCATATATTAATTTACTATAAGAGAATAAACTAACTTAAATAATGGCAAAATAATTTTTTTCCCTTAACTTTAACTTGGGATTCAGTTTGGTCTCTTAACTTTAAAAAGTGACAAGTTGGTCGCTAACTTTTAAAATGGTGTCACGTTTATCCTTCCGATTGTTGCTATTAGACAAAGTTTGAAAAAAAATGTCACGTTTGTCCAGGTAGACTTGATGTTGCTCACGTGGATATGAAATGTCTTAAAACAAATCCCTTTTGACCTTGGTTTCCATTACCCAGAAGATAAAACGTTTGTACAGTAAACTCAATGAATCATTGAAGACGATTCAAGGATTCAATACGCGGAGGATTGAAGACGCGAAGGATTGAGGACGGAGGATTGAAGACGATTCAAGGAGACATTATCAAAAGGTTATTTCATTTCTCTCTGATTTAGGGTTTACGAATCTCATATGGCAATATCTGCTAGAGGTTCAGATTTAGGGTTTATGTAAATTTTTTAGTGTAAACTCTAATTATTTAGATGATATGATTAGGTATCATGGATGAATACATAACTCTCAAAATTCATCATAGTGGTGAGTTCACCGATGAAGGTCGTAGTGTATATGAGAATGGAGTAGTAGATGATTTGAGCGTAAATGTAGACAAATTGAGTTATTTTGAGCTAGTTGGTGTATTGAAAGACTTGGGTTATAGAGAGTTTGGTACAATATTTTACAAGGACCCTTAATTTGGGATAAACCCACTTGTTGATGACAATGGTGTTTTGGAACTTGCAGATCTTTATAGGGTGCACCAAAATGTTAATATTTATATTGAACACACCTTGTCTCAACCTGACTACTATGATGTTGTTGTTGATGAAGTTGATGAGGACCCTGCTGAAATTGTAGATTAGGTGGAGGAGTTACTTAGTCAACTGCATGATGAAGTTGTGAAAGTTGAGCAAACCATTATTGTGATGGAGGAAGGTGATGTTAGAGTTGATCAAGCCACTGCTGGGTTAGAGGAAGGTAATGTTGGAGTTGATCAAGGGAATCCTGCAGTGGATGAACATACTGTTGGAGTTGAGGAAATTAATGTTGGAGTTGTACAAGGGAATCCTGAAGGGGAAGAAGGTAATGTTGGAGTTGAAAAAGGTAAACCTGCAGTGGATGATGACTTAAGTTTATCTTCTGATGATAGTGAAGATGAGGACTACAATTATGATAATGAACAAGATGTGACTTTTGAGGATGAGTTTGATGGGTGTGATGAGATTGAGGAGGATGAACTTGATATCCTAATTGATCATGAAAATGATGGTAATGGAGAAGCCCAAGAACTTAATTGTAATACCCTAAATTTTGCCCTAAGATTAGTCGTTTCGTCTTGCATCTCATTTCATTTTGCATTGCGTTTAAACTAACCACTAACGGGTTGTGCAGTTGTTTGATTGTTGCAAGAAAATATCATGTGGCGCGCTCTTTTAGTTTACAGGGTTTCTAGTGCCACTTTATTTTGAATGAATAAAATAGCATAATTGGCAAGAGACCCTGTGTAAGGAGTTGTGAGTGTGAGAGGTTGAGAGTTCGAATCCCACATTCTTCATCAGAAGAGGACTAGCATCAATACCTCCATCAAATTTCATCACCTTATATTTAGGCTAGAACAATTTTTTAAAATTAGAATTAAATTCTTTTTAAAAAAAAACTAAATCTTTTTTAAAACTAAGATTAAAATTAAACTAAACCTCTCTTTTTATTAAAACTAAAACTTCTTTTTTAAAAAAATTAAAATTGAATCTTTTTAAAATTAAAACTAAAACATTTTTCAAATTAAAACTAAGACACTTTTTGAACATTTGACAATTAAACTCTTTTTTTTTATATAGTAAAATTAAACCTTTTTTAAATTTAAAACAAAAATTCTTTCTTTTTAATTAAGACAAAAATCTTTTTTTTTTTCAAAGTTTAAATCTTTTTTAAAACTAAGATTAAAATTAAACTAAACCTCTCTTTTTATTAAAACTAAAACTTCTTTTTTAAAAAAATTAAAATTGAATCTTTTTAAAATTAAAACTAAAACATTTTTCAAATTAAAACTAAGACACTTTTTGAACATTTGACAATTAAACTCTTTTTTTTATATAGTAAAATTAAACCTTTTTTAAATTTAAAACAAAAATTCTTTCTTTTTAATTAAGACAAAAATCTTTTTTTTTTCAAAGTTAAAACCGAAATCTTTTTTTTTTTAAGAAATAAAACAATATCAAATTAGCAGCTTTCTCTTTACTATCTCATTATCCGCTTTATTTCTGTCTAATCCTATTAACATTCTCCGATTTTTTTCAGCTGATTGAGTTTAACTTCATTTATCATTAGTTAAATATTTCATTATCATATTTGTATTTTGTTCCATGGATGTAATTTACGCGAGGCCATGGTCGCGGTTTTATTTTATCTTTCTTTTTTGGGGATTTGTAATTTATGCGAGTGATTGTCGCGATGCTTTCTTTTACCGCTTTCTTTATTTTTCCGCACTTTAATTCTGCCGAATAGTAATTTGTCGTATTTTGCATGTTTTTACCGTTAGAATCCCTCCGAAGGAATTAGGTCTAGCCGTTTGACCGCCGAGTCAATAACCCTAATTTTTGACCGTTTCAAAAACCCTAATAGCCTAGGTGTCCCGCCGTGGACGAAAATGCCCTTTACCCTAGCATTAGGTCAAAGAGTCGTCGTACTCTGTTTAGGGTCTCCCGCCGTGGAATCCCTAATTTCAACCCTAAATTTTCAATTAACAAATTCAACATAGAAATAGGAGTTTCAAAGACTCCACGTAAGCGTGTCCTTAAGATACGTTTATTCCCCATTGAAACCTTGACCATAGTCAAGACGTTTCTAACCTCCCTTTCGAGGGAAACTACGATTACTCTGATTCCATTCCCTATCTAGGATACGTAGGCACAAGATGCGACGTCTTTCCGAGTAAACTTAGGACTAACCCTTGGGTCTTTTAGGTCACTCTATCCCTTAGCTCAATATATACATCAAACAAATAATAAAATAAAAAAGCATACAATAAACAAAAGGTTCCTGTAGAGTACTACAGAAGTTTAGGGTGCTAGTACCTTCCCTAAGCTTAACCAACCCCTTACCTAGGTCTCTCCCCGCATTGTGTTTACGATGCAAAAATAGGTTTTCCCTCTTTTGACCTTTTCCTTCAGATAAATCAAAGAGCGGTTGTGAATTAAGAATTGTGATTCAAACTAATTAATAGTTTGGTATCCTATTTCCACCATAACAGAAAATGGCGACTTCACTGGGGACTGCCATAATTTTTAAGGGTTATCCCTACCTCATTTATTGCATGCTATTTACTTTATTATTTGTTTGCTCGTATATAATATGTTCATATTGTACCTTACTTGGGGGGTATCTATTTTGTTGCGAGATAAGTCCTACACCCGGACTTGAGTGACCTTATTATAGGAGGTGAGATATTCAACGAGGCTTATAGGGAGTGATTCCCGACCAAGCCGACTTGAGAATCACCGCTCAGTTGAGACCCTTTCAAAAATGGTTCGGTTGAACGAGTATTCGTGAAAACTTTTACCATGGTCGATTGGAGTCTATGATATTGAGGACCGTAGTACCTTAACACCACCTTGGCCTTATCTAGGACGTAGTGCAAGGACTATGAGGGAATATTCCCGAAATAGTCGCTATGTGATACTACACTCAAAAGAGATTCTCTTGAGAATATTATTAACCACCGAGTTAATCGGGAAATTTATAATATCCGAAAGATGGATTGATGACTTTGGGCACCGCTTTAGAACCCTTGTTCTGCAGGTACAACTAACCTTAGTACATACCTTGTTGGAGTTGAAAAAGGTAAACCTGCAGTGGATGATGACTTAAGTTTATCTTCTAATGATAGTGAAGATGAGGACTACAATTATGATAATGAACAAGATGTGACTTTTGAGGATGAGTTTGATGGGTGTGATGAGATTGAGGAGGATGAACTTGATACCCTAATTGGTCATGAAAATGATGGTAATGGAGAAGCCCAAGAACTTAATAATAAGTCTTTAGAAGATAAAGGGAGTGACAATGACAGTGAGGACATGCAAAGTGGTTGTGACAGTGATGATAGTAGTGGAGTTCTAAGAAAAAAGCATCCAATTTTCAGACAACCAAAAGACATGTTAGATTACAAATGGGATGTGGGAATGTACTTTAGTTCAAAGGTTGATTTTAGGGAAGCAATAACAACTTATGATGTGCAAAATGGTAGAGACCTAAGGTTTGTAAAAAATGACAGAGTTAGGGTAAGGGTTAGATGTAAAGTTGGTTGTGAGTGAGAGGCTTATTGTAGCAAGTTGTCAAATGAAGACACTTTACAACTCAGGAAAGTAATTGACAAACACAATTGTAGTAGAGAGTATAATGTGAAGCTGATGAGTACAAAGTGGTTGAGTAAAAGAATTCAGAATAGCTTGAAAAACAATCCAAGGTTGAGTATAAAGAATATTAAGGAGAAGGCACAAAAAAAAGTGGAATGTTGGGGTCAACAAAACCAAAGCTATAAGAGCAAGATTTGCAGCTAGAGATTATGTTGATGGTTCTTTTTTGGGAGATTACACAAGGGTCTATGACTACTGTCATGAACTGTTAAGAGCCAATCCAGGGTCAACAGTTAAGCTCAATGTTGAGCTTGTACAAGAAGGTGTTAAGGATGAAAGACTATATTTTAGAAGGCTTTACATATGCTATGTTGTGTGTAAGGAAAGCTTTAAGTTGTGCAGGCATGTAATAGGTCTAGATGGGTGTTTTCTGAAGGGGT